AATTATTTAACGAGATTAAAAAAAACACTGGGTGGATCTTTATCATTATATGGTGGTTGTGTACACACACTGCCAACACACATTTCAGTTCAAACTGCTTGTAAAAGTGCATGTCGCATCCGATGACCTCTTGAAATATAATTTTTTTTACAGCTAATAACGCTTGTATTGGTGCTGGTATTACTCGCAACCTCTTTTAAATGTGTAAATATAAGTGACCATACATCAGTTGGACTATAATATTAATGCACCAAGGTAAATTGCTTGACTTTCATAAACATCCTACTCTTATCCTACTGTTAGGTTAGAACTTGGTGGAAGTAATGTGAAGGATGAGAGACATTCATTCAAAACCTACTTCTTTTTCAAATTCAGAATCATACTGTAAATAGCTTTTAAAAACATACTGTGGTAGTATGAGGCAATATGCTGGATCTCATGTATCTTGAATCTTCAAAGCCAGTGGTATGAGAGCACTGGCCTCCTTTGAACTACATTTTGATACTGCCTAAACAATTATTTGAGAAAAAAACAGGCTGTACTTTCATTTCGGTCCAAAACCATAGTGAATAGCTTGATGGGTATTGGGTAATTTGGCTCTGATGCTGATGATTTTGACAATAGCTCTGTTAACATATCTTCACTTAAACACATGCATACCATAATCCCCTGTGAAGATGTTGTCATCCCATCTGGGGGTGGTTCCCTGGGAAACAGGCCTCATGCAGTGCTGCAGTATTTAGTCCAGTCACTCCACTGTGTGTATGCACGTGTGTTTGTACAGTATGTAGGGGTCCATTACTAGCCAAAATAATATGTTAGATCACTATTTAGCTTAAAAGACATTACCTTCTGCCTCAGACTGAGTATACACAGAGCCTGTTTTTCTGTCATGCACTATTGGAACTGCTTTTTCCTTTTCGAGCAGCTTTTTGTACACCCATGAGATCCTATCAGAGCTTTTCAGTGCGGGCAAAGAACCAGAAGTTGACTAAGTATCAGTAGTGTTTTCTCTCTTGACACTGAAACGAGTTGAGGCGAGGCTGGATGTATAAGAACGCTCCCAGGATCTATTGATTGGCTGTCACCATTAAGCCAAGGTCACTTGCCAGCATCTTGTAGCGCTGGTATTGTGTCACACTCTGCCTATTTGAGAGAGCTTCGACACAAGGAGGCCAGTGTGTACAGATGAGGCTCACATATAGGCTATACATTTCAGTTCCTACACTGTAAGAAAAAACTGTCAATATACAGTACAATATACCGTAATATTTAAAGTAATTTTTCCGTTTTTGGTTTTTACATGTGTTTTCCCGTATTTTTGAATTACGCTTTGCATTGTGGGAGCGAGAACCTTGGTCGCTTATCGGCGCGAAAACAGTGCAAGAGCAGGCGCCATTACTCACGGAGATCTTCTCGGTCAAAGTTTCATTTTAAAGTCGGCTTTCGAATTTGGGGAACCTGTTTCTACACTTCCGTGGTAAATTATAGACTATGTTGTTAAATGTCACATAAACTGTTGACGTAACATTAATTTAGTTAAGGTCTGGCTTGTTTGGCAAATGAATGTCGGAGCCGTCACATTCATAATTTTCTGCTTATCGTCACACATCTTACTTACGGAGGTTACTCTTTTAAATGTTTATTAACTTTTAATTGTTGTTGATGCGCTGTATTTAGTGCTATACATATTTGCTTTATTGGCATGGTAAAACGGCTTACATAACCAAACCATTAATAAACATTTGGTCATTATGAGAAAGTAAACTCCTTCAGAGTGATGCAAGATCACAGTGTCAAGGTTGATTTTTCAATATTGACAGGCTTACTGTGCATTTATACCCAAAATAAGTCTATTTGTTGTATATAATTACATTCAGAAACCGGTTTTCTGGTGTTGTTTATGAGCTTTTCATGCTTTTTCTATATATATATATTTTTTGGTTTTTGTTCCAGTGATTGCTCTTTTGTTGTGGCAATGCAACCTTGCAGTAGGAGGAAGAATCTGCAAGGACATGGAGATAAATATATCAATATCTGTGTCACCATACAATAATATTACTCTTTTTAAATGTATTATCATTCAAAACTTTGATATATTGCGATCTTTTCACAGTTGTTTCTCATTCATCATTTGGCCTCTGCCTTTGAAGATCAAGCCATATAATAAATAGTGTTAGTTTTGACAATAGGCACCTCTGTGTTAGTAAGAAATTACTTTAGGGAATAGCATACCTTAGTTTAGCTCTTTTATCATAACATGAAAACCCTTGCAGTCTATTATGCTGTATGGGTCGTGAACTGTACAGGTGACACAAGTTGTAGACTCACAATGTGTCCAAACCAGTTTTTTTTTGTGGTTGAATAGAAATAGTTGGTGTACACTGAGTAACCTATTTGTTGCCTTTTCACATACTTGTTGTGAGAATGGTGGTCAGTTGCAGTGAAAGTATAGGAGGATATATCTTGTTTGGTTTCCACTACCAAAAAATAACAAATCCAACAACTTCAATGATAGATTTCAAAATACAGTACATTATTTAGCCGTTTTATTTATTGAATATCTGTCCGGTTACGTTATTAAAGGACTGCGCATTAATAACCATATATCGCAAAGAAACATGTCTGAGCAGTTATTACAGTAAACCAGCCTAGTTATACAGTATATGGGTTTCCTGAACTAACCCACTAACTAATCAATTTTGAAAATACATTTTCTACTGCAGATGAATATTGTTGTACCTTCTCCCCTCTCAGTGTGTAATACTCGTAATTCGATTCTGTACAAACAGAATTTTCAGGCATGATATTTATACAACCGAACTCTTTCCAGGAAAGTTCTGGTTGCAACAAAAGCAAACTAAACAGCTATTTTTTCTCCTAGTGGGACTGACTTGTGTATTCTGTACACACATGGAGCAATAAGGGCATTCACTCTGTATTTATTTGTATGGTTATCACCCCTAAAACTTGTGCAATGCTCTCGAACACAGTGTGTAATGGGCCGTAGTTTCTAAGTACTTAATACTAAATGTAAACCTAGAGCAGGGTTCCTCAAATCTTGCCCTGGAGGGCCAATGCGCTGCAGAGTTTAGCTCCAACCCTGATCAAACTCACCTACCTGTGATTTTCTAATGTTCCTGAAGACATTGATTAGCATGCTCAGGTGTGTTTGATTAGGGTTAGAGCTAAACTCTGCAGGAAAGTGGATCTTGTGGGCCAGATTTGAGGATCCCTGACCTAAAGCATAGCTTCTTACAACCAAAGACAGTGTCTGGCAGGGGTTTTGGTGGTGAGGAATGGTAATTTGTGGTGACTTTGAGATCCGAGACAGACTATATTTTGCTGAGTGGAAATGGCTCTTCTGGGGTCCCTGAGCTGCCGTGAGATCTTAGTGCATGTGAGAAAGAGTGACACATATGAGTCATTCAGTTTCTCTCACTGTTTGCTTAGTGAAAGGTGAAATAAATGAGAAGAGAAGTGGGGTGTGTTGTGTGTGTGTGTACTTGAGAACAGATGGCAGCTGGTTAGCTGGGCTTGGACAAGGTAATTACCGTGCAGTGTTACTTAACTCTTTACTGGTGCAATCTGTTGGGTTTTCTCTCTGTTCCATTCTCTCATTCGCTGATAGACTTTTAATCAGTTTTGCTCTTAAAATAATCTTGTCTAAATGAATTTACAATGGGACACAGCTAAGCTGTCATAGCAATTGGTGTTGTGGTATTGGGTGTGCCTCTTGTTTTTACTTCTCTTAACCTCATGCTCTGTTTCTCCTTTTCACACTTTCGGATCTTTACTCAAACTTTACTGAGCACATCTTTTCCATTTTAACACACATTCTAATCTAATCACACCTTCTCTCATCTCAGTTGAGGTGTGGATCTGTGAATGGTTAGTGCTGATTTCTAAGGCAAGCGTTACTGAAAGTTTTGCGCATACTGGGTATTAAACGTTGATGTATCACATTATTTGGCATGATTCATGTAGATTATTAAGGTGTTCTATTACTGTTTTAAACAATCAGTCTTCAGGTTTTCAGCAGGAAAATGACAAAACGGGCCCCCCCCAAAAAAAACATCCCATAGACTTGCATATCAAGGGAACAGACTTGGGCCACTCTGAACATGCTAGCAACCGAAGCATAACATGCTAAAAACGCTCAATACCTTAGCAACCACATAGCATTGCTCTGGCAACCACCCACATCACCCTTGCATATTGAAGGCATCTTCTGCATGGGTAATCATCACACACATTTTCTTTAGAAATTGCAAGAAGTTTCTGAGTAAATTGATAATCCGTTTGTTTAGGTTGGATTGTTTGCAAGAAACATTCAGCACTTACTGCATATGTTTGTCTCACCCTTTGTAATATTAGAAGGTTTCCTAAAAAGTGTTAGTCACTGGTCTTGTTGTGCTTTTATGCTATTAAACTTGAATACGGATGCATGAAAAACACTTTCCATTTGCTTGTGTGAGCTGTGGGATGTGACCGTATGAGTAGTGCTGGGCGGTATGACCAAAAATTTATATCACGGTATTTTTCAAAATTATACCGGTTTCATGGTACATGACGGTATTATTTTTTTTCATACATGACCGGGTGTTAACCATATTTTCTACTGATTGAGAGGGGAAATACTGCAGTATATTGACTTAGAATGCCCTATTTTACTGTCATGATGATTGAATATTGTCAAAAAATACCACACTAAATAGTGACTAAACACGACCCCTTTTAATACATGTTAACCAGGAGTCACTCTCATTTATAATCGCGGCATCGTCTGATAAAATCAGCATGCATCTACACTAAAGAGCGGCTAACGTTGTTTAAGCGACATACACCAGTATTGCGTTATTTTAAAAATTCATATCATAACAAAAATAAACACCGGTATTCGGTATGAACCGGTATACCGCCCAGCACTACGTATGAGTATTCTTGTTTGTATCATTGTGATTCAGGATTGTCTGACCTTTGCTTTGCTTTTGAAACAGATTTCCTACCATGGCAGTGAGGAAGGGGGGGAGAGTGAAGATTCAGAAGGCGAAAACCAAGAGCTGGCACAGATTGACAGAGGTGTGTGTGTGTGTGTTGCCACATGCATATATCTATAGCATACAGGGCTTCAACAACTAATTAATAAAATGTGTAATATTACATAGATAATGCATAGAATAACACATTTACATTAGGGTTGGGCGATGTCTACCAAATTGGCATCGGACGATGTCTACAGTGAAACATCGTGATGGAAGATGACATCGGGGGGCGGGGTTAGGGGTGTGCCCGAAGCGTGAAACAAATAACGTGTTATACGGAGCCACTAAAAGGTTAGCCGCTTGCTAGCGGTAGCCTGTTGCATTACAGTACATGAAAGTTCACTTACCACATACACAGAGTAAGTAGAAATGTCTAATAGGACGATGGCGAATGATTTGCAGATCCTGAGCACCAATGACAAACATCTAATCTTGTCAAATGTGTGGTAAGTACTGCCGCTCCATAGTATAGAGTCCTTGTGATCGCGAATCTCAAAAGTTAAAGTGAAAGTAAAATGAGAGCGTGCAATCGAAAGCGGTTTCAGTAGCGGCTCCCTGATGCCCGCAATTTATATACAGTCGCCTGTACTTACCCAATGATATAATAGCGAGAAAAAGTATTGAAATATTTTTTTTTTTATCCTCCCATCTCGTAGGCTATTTATTCCCTTTAGGGTTTTTGTAGTACACTTAATTTCCTTTCCGAACACAGAACTGGGATGCAGCGGATTGCGGGAGAGGGGGTTGTGGGGGGACGGGGATCACGTTGTCAGCTTAATCGTGATGTCTGTCAGCCATCGGCGATGGACGATGGCATCGTCTATCGGCCCAACCCTAATTTACATAAGTTACTGTTATGTTTCTAAAAGCAAGGTTTTGAAACCTGAAAGTAAGTTATTAAAGTGTTGTCATCATTAAATGGGTACTCAACCCAAAAATGAAAATTCTCTCATTATTTACTCACCCTCATCCTGTCCCAGATGTATATGACTTTCTTTCTTAAGTGAATCACAAAATGAGATTTTTAGAAAAATAATTCACCTCTGTGAGTCCATAAAATCCAAGTGGATGGGTCCCTAAAAGTTGACGCGTCAAAAACCATGCAAAATGAACATGACAGTTATCCATACGATCACTTTACAGTTGATCTAAAGTGAAACGATAGGTGTGTGTGTGTGTGAGAAAAATACAAATATGATAGTAAATAACAAGATAATTTTCATTTTTGAGTGGACTATCATATCAATATGCATATAAATCAAATAGACTGCAACAGAAGGTGTGCAATCATTAGCATCAAACCTTTTCTAATTGAAACAAAATTAAAACCCTTAATGCAATGCAACTAATGTTATTTTTACATCTATAGTAGTAGGGTATCTAAAAAATGAAGTGTACATACAAGGAATCAGCATTAAAAGAAAAGTAATGGTTAGAGTAGAGCCATATAATCAACAAATTAAATGAGTATCAAAATAGTTATTAGTTGAACCCGATAGTCTGTCCCATACATAAACTTTGATCTTGTAGGTTAAAAACACCAAGCCATGAACTTTATTTGGAATCTATACAAAGACCACTTGTGCATTTTAATCATACTTTGCTTGTACCTGCTGTACTCTCTGCAGGCTAAGAGCAATGGAAATTGGTTTGGTCTAATCTATTGTGGTTTGGTGTATCGTAGTTTGAACTTAATTTAGCTGAGCAGTGACTCAATATGGCATCTACCAAAGAAGTGAAGACAGTGGAGCTTAGGTGATCCACCTCATGATGCAGTTTGATACTGCAGTTCAGTATTAATATAGACTAGCAACTAACCTCTATGTTTATCAGTGTGAACAACCCCTTAAGGAACAAGACTTAAATGTCATTGTGCTCTTGAGCAAGACATGCAAACCCAAGATGCTTCATGGGATTATCCCTGTATTTTTGTCCCTGAAGGCTTTTAAGTTTATATCTTGCTAAATGACATCCTTCTGTTATATTACACCCCTTGCAGAGCGTCGACGAAACTGCGCCTTGACCCCTCTAGCTACTAGCCAGCAGCACAATCAGGGCATTCTTTCTCCCGCCCACTTACGCCGTCTCCGTTTACTCCTGGACCCAATCTTGGACCATCACAGTTCTGAAGAGGAGCTGGAGCGCATCGCAGGGGCCACGGGGGCTGAGGGGGGTCGAAAGTGGCACAGACATGGAGACATGAGCAGCACCTCTAGTGACGAGGAGGTGAAGGACCTGTGTGGGCCAAATGAATCGTCGGCTGGACCTCGCTTGAGCGCCACTTCTCCAAGCCCTGTTCTCTTCAGCTCCTCTCCTCCTCGAGCTCTCAAGCCTTCCCACACCCCAGCCCGCCTTCCTGTCCGGCCCATTATTCTCAGCCACTTTGAACAACCTTCCATGCCTTATTGGCGGCACCGGCCCGCTTACACAGGGGAACCAGGTCGCCCCAGCTTGGACCTGGAGAAAATGCAGCAGGTAAGGGACACTCATTTTCCCTGAAGTTCTTACTTAGCCAACAAGAAACTTTGTGATTTTGCAAGAGATGACATAACCATCTTGTGTTGGTCCTTGAGCATCATATTCTATAAACACTAATAGTCTTAACCCTATGCTCAACCGTCCCTTAAAATCAGAGGAAAGTACAAAGGTTGATAAAGAATGTGGAAAAAATTCTTCCTAAAATTAGTCACAAAAAATTGTCCTAATAGTATTGCAGCATGTGATACTCACATATTTCAGCAAAAAGGCTCAAGAAATGGATGTGGAAAACGGAAAAGGTGGGAAGAGGATAGAGCATGGGAGTTGGAAGGGGGTCAAATTCACTCAACCGAGCTACAACATGCTTGCCGTGTCCAAATGGATGAACTAGGGACAAAGACAAAAGAGATGGGGGCACTTTGCCATATCAGTGTGTCAATGTGAAGAGTTTGCAAATCAGATTAGGATATTACCAAAAAACATTATTGCTTTGAGACCTACAGCAAATGGCTGTACAAACTATGAACAAATTACACAGATCAGTTTAAAGGGATTTTCCACCTAAATGTATTGGACTTTCTTTCTTTTTTGCAAAACAAATTGAGATTTTTAGAAAAACAATCCATGTCTAAGCCTGTATAATGCAAATAGAAGGAACCCTCAAAGATAATTATTTAAAAACCATTAAAATGAATGAAGCGAAGCGATAAGTGCGTGTGAGAAAAATACTCATACTGACATAAAAATTAGCACACTGTGAAGCGTGATGCAAGCACAGGGGTTAAGCATTGTTTACGTTAAGCATAAATTCATAGGACAGTTGGCTGGAAGCAATTGTTCATAGTTTAAAAGGGTTAAAATATTTGTTTTTTTTCCACACAAAAAATTATAAAAAGGTATTTAGAGACAAAGTCAGACTTAAAAATGTGTAAATATTATTGCATTAGAAACAGTAGTAAATTAAGCTTAGATTTTAAATGATAAAACAATAGATACTTTTCTATTAAGGCAAACTATGTGGACACTTTTTGTTTCTGCAAAAATATGGGAAACTCTGGTTACTCTGCTAGGAAACCCTATATGATTTTGGGCGAATTGACTACATACAACCATCAAAAAGACTTTAGGACCAGTCATTGTGAAAATGCCTTGGGGAAAAAAGTATGGCTGCACGATTAATCGAAATTAAATCGCAAAGGCGATAAATCACGATTAGGCTGAAGCTGCGATTGTCATGCGTATCTTTCAGTGAAGCACGGTTCTGTGATCAGTAGTAAATCTCCATCCAAAGGCCAGAGGGCACTCTCGCGCTGAAACCCCAAATACGCCTCGCAGAAGAAACCCAGGAAATCCCTATAGCGGTTGCTGAATAAACAGAAGATTTAACTTCTTTCATTAATTCAACGTAACTAATAAACACACGACTACGACAATATATGGTTTATCTGAGTTTGTCTTATTATAATTTTTATTATAATAAAGTATATAATAATGCAATGATAATTGACATAGCCTTTATCACTGCTTAGAATACTATGAAATATGTTGTGTGCCTTACAGTGTTAATTTTGACAGGCATTTTTGATTTAGTCTTAGGGCTCTATCATACACCTGGTGCAATGCGGTGCCAGGCGCGACGCAAGTGTTTTTTGCTAGTTTCAGCCCGATGCAGTTGTCATTTTCACGTCCTACCTTTACTGACAAGATGCGCATGACAATAGCATTCGATTAATCGTGCAACCCTAGAAAAAAGTTAGTTCTTCTTAAATAATTTAATTCCAAAGACCATCTTCGATTCTGATGTAAAATCTCTTCAGAATACTGTTTCAACCAACAGTTCTTGTTGACTCAATGGCTGAGTTTGAAAACAATGCAGGACAATGCACACAACTATACTTACTCAGACAACTCCATGTGCTCCAGGGCTTTGTGCCCGCCACCTCCAGAGAGAAAGAGAGGATGACAGATGTCAGCCCCCCTCCCTCACTTTAAACAAAAGCCCAATAGAGTGAATCTGTGAGTGAATGAAACAGCAAAGTAGGACAAGTAAACCTAGTAGTTTTGTCTTCAGGTGTTCAAATATACAGGCCAGATTGTGCAGAGTGGAAAAAAAAGGATATGGGGAGACAGAAAGAGCAAAAAGGCGAGAACAGAGAGAGAGAGGAGCTGAATGAAGATGACTGGGAGGACCATATGACTCTCTGAGTGCACTGTGTGTGTGTGTGTGTGTGTGTGTGTGTGTGTGTGCTTGGTCAAGTGGAATGGGAGGTGTTGATGGAAAAACAATATGGCAGACTATTCAAGTTAGCTGCTAAAATATATTTTTGCTTTAATTTTTAAAAATCAAATCCGTTTTTAACCATAACATAGTAAGTCTTACTAAGTCTTATCAGCATTATTGGCTGAAGTTGTAAACATGAAATAATTCACGTCCAACCTCACTCTTCTACGTCTCACATGTTTAATTATATACGACAGCTGTTATGTTAATATGCTAGTATGTTTTTCATTAATAATCCTTACCAACTAATCCATTCCTGCACTTATGCAGTTACTTATATCTCAAATGCAGGGGTCCAGCTATTGTTTGAGTGAAATGAATGGTGTGTCTGACAGATGTCTAAATGAGGCCCTCCATGGTTGAGTGAGCTTGACAGACATTATCTCCTTTTTTGGGAACTTTGAAATGAGGCCGAGCTCATTTCAAACTCCACTTGGGCTTTAATCATGGCTGCCTTCCAGTCACTCAGATCTGGACAAATTTGACAATTCCTGGGTTGTTTTTTTTTACTGGGATTTTCCCTTGTAGAACAAAGACGCTGCTTGAAATGTGCATTATTCTTCCTTTAGGTTTTTCTCATAGATTTATTATTACCAGTATATACAAGCTATGAAGAAAGCTGGTTGTTTTTACTATAATGAAAAGCCCTGTTTGTAATATGATGTTTTTAAATGATCTTTAAAGAAACAGAGGGTTATTTCCATCATCATTAATGATGGGTTGTCATTGTTGTGTATGACGCTCTTTGTTTTGTGGAAAAGAAAAAAATGCAGATTTTTTTTCCACACAACAAAACCATTCAGAGTGAATGAGATAGTTCACTCAAGATAATCAGTGACTTAAAGTGTTAGTTCACACAAAAATGAAAATTCTGTCATTAATTACTCACCCTTGTGTTGTTCCAAACCCATAAGACCTTCGGAACACAATTTAAGATATTTTTGATTAAATCTGAGAGCTCTCTGACCCTCCCATAGACAGCAAGGTAACTACCACGTTCAAGGTCCAGAAAAGTACCAAGATGATCGACAAAGTAGTCCGTGTGACATCAGTGGTTCAACTGTAAAGTTACGAAGCTACGAGAATTTGCGCAAAGAAAACAAAAATAACGACTTTATTCCACATTTTCGTCTCTACTGCGTCACTTTGGACGCGCGTTCACGACAGTACCATGACGCGAGCGTGTGGCGCGTGTGGTGCTGACCCAGATCTGGCGTGATGACGTCATTACGCCGGATCTGGGTCAGCGCCACCACACGCCACAGCGTATCCACAAGTGACGCAGTAGAGACGAAAATGTGGAATAAAGTCGTTATTTTTGTTTTCTTTGCGCAAAAAGTATTCTCGTTGCTTCGTAACTTTACAGTTGAACCACTGATGTCACACAGACTACTTTGTCAATCATCTTGGTACTTTTCTGGACCTTGAACGTGGTAGTTACCTTGCTGTCTATGGGAGGGTCAGAGAGCCCTCATATTTCATCAAAAATCTTAAATTGTGTTCCGAAGATGAACGAAGGTCTTACGGGTTTCGAACAACACGAGGGTGAGTAATTAATGACAGAATTTTCATTTTTGGATGAACTAACCCTTTAAATTTAGTCCGTTCCTGTTTATAAAAAGGAATATGACACGAGTCTTTTGGACTACTTTTAAACTGTCTTTTTAAACTGTAAAACTGCCTTTGGTCCATTGATAGCCCTGGTCCTTGGTGCGGCCTGAACATTCTGCTAAACATCCCCTTTTTTGTTCTATAAAAGAAAGATAGTCACACAGTTTGAAATGAGGGTAAATAATGTAGAATTTTTCATTCATTGCAGGTTTTGTTTTATCATAAAAGTTTTGTATGAGGATCACTGATTGTTTTTAGTGTAATGAACAGCTTAGACTCCTGTTAACCTATGTCCTTGAGTCACCAGGCTTTAATTTAGCACTGACAGTAGAGTTCTGGGTAAGGAAAGCAAACAGATTTCCATGGTTGTCCTGAGGAGGTGGCCCACAGGATGTTTTGCTATGTTACATAAAACAGTGGCCCAGAGCTTCCAGGGCTCTTCCAGAACAGCTCAAGGGCAAAAAAGCAGTAAATGTTTATACTTACAATATGAAAACTTGCTCCTCATTGTGCTGTTGTGTGGAGTTTGGCTTTGTATAGACTTACTGAAGGTTTATGGCATTCATTTTAACCACAATTTCTCCTTTCTGCTTTTTGTTTCAGAAAATGCTTCTAAAAAAGAACTGTGGAGGGAAAACAAGGACTATCAAGATTCGGGTGAGTGTGTCAAAAAGAAAAAAAAAGTGTCCCCAAAAAAGTATTCAGACACTTCAACCACACTGTATGAATGTCACTGCATTAGATAACAAAATATTAAAGAAAGTGTCATCTATTATAAAGAATGATTGCATAAGCACACTTTTCAAAAAGTTGACAAAGAATATATGTGCAATTTTAAAAAGATTTATTTGAACATTATCTAGTTTTCAAACCTTGTAGAACATGTTTTTTTATGGATACATGGAACATGTTTTCATATTTTTGTTATGGTTAAAAAAGATTTCTAGTCTTGATTTTCTAGTCTTGGTTCAGTTTTATCTGATAAAACAGTAGTAGCATGATTTCATTGAATGAGAGTGGTTAGATTGCTTTATAAAACACTGACATGTGAGCATGCCTTGTGTACTGGAGCATGGCCAAAGTGCACCCGCTGACCCTCATAGCCATAGCCATGGCCGTGGACCCCGGGTGTTTCTTTGGCACTCGTCACACTGGTCCAGAAGGCCCGAGTTTAGTGATGCCAGTGTGTGACGTCATTATGAGCTCGCCACCTTTTGGACTGCAGAACAGTAACTCCTGCTTGCCTCCTCCTGCCATGCATGGCACAGGAACTGGAACACTCTTGGGCAACCCTGGCTGCAGACCAGGCTGCTGGAGTCAGAGAAATTAATTAGAAACACAATCTGTGTCACCTCTTAGGGGCCCCTTACAAAAAAAAAAAAAAAGTGGTAATACCATTGTATTCTTTGAGATATCTTTCGGTAACGTTTAAATACCACAGCATTCAGCATTCTAATATATAATATTCTCATATCTAAAATGTTATAATAAAACAAAAATAATAATAATAATAAAAATTATTAATACCATTGTATTCTTTGAGATATCTTTCGGTAACGTTTAAATACCACAGCATTCTCATATCTAATATATAATATTCTCATATCTAAAATGTTATAATAAAACAAAAATAATAATAATAATAAAAATTATTCTAGCTTTCTGAAATGCAGATTTACTTTCTATAGAATGTTCTATTTGCAAAATAATTGTTGCATAATTGTCTTTATCTCTACTGAACATCCAGAAACCTCCATTTCATCTGTAGGAGATTGGATGACCATTTTTATTAGATTAATGGAAAGAGGTGAGGAGCTAGGGATGAAAAGGGAGAGGGAGAGGAAGTGTGTGTGTGTGTGTGTGTGTTAGGATGAAGTCATTTTCCATTTATAGAGTGCCGGCTGTTGCAGGATCTACAGTCATAGAGAGAAAGATGTTCATCTCTTCACTCCTCCACTTTGTTGTTGTTTTCAACTTTCTTTCGCTCTTCCCACTCTCTTTGCTTTCCCACTCTCTTTTCCTTTGCCTTTTGTCCTTGATTGTTGACTCTATATTGTCATATTAGGTATATCTATTTGATCAGACATGCTCAAAAAATCCTCCTTGGGTGGCCACATATACTGTTCATTTCAGTCTCTCTATTTCTTTTCTTTCACTACTTTCGCATGAAGTTTAGTGTTTTCGAATGTATTATTTTAATATTATTTTCAAATTTTAATTTCAATATAATTTTAGAAGCTTTTAGCAATGGTCGATGAATGATTTGAGAATTCAGCATAACATGAGTCAGTTATTCACATCTTTAAAAAAAGCATAACCTTTTGTATTTAAAGTCTCTAATGTGAATGCAGCAATGCAATATATTCAGGAGGACTGAATGTCTTGTCCCAAACTAGGTCTGAAAATTCTCCATGTGAAGATAGCATAGATAGATATGATCAATTTGAGCTATAAAGCAGTTCTACAAAAGACAGGTGTCATTATTCAGCTCCATTTAGTTTTTTAATTATTTTTTAAAAATTAGTTAACTGTGTCAATGTCACAAAGTGAAGTTCATCATTTATAAAATAAAACAATTGAAGTTGTAAATAAACATTATTGAAGTTGTAATTAAAACATGAAAGAAAATACTATTTCAATGTTTCGACTTTAGAATTTGATATATAATTCAGTGTGTTACTTGCAGCTTGTTTTAATTAATTGTGAAAATGTGATTTCTGAGTAAATATTGTTTTTGCACATTTTTTTTCAATGTATAAGCAACTCTTCAGAAGACAGTAATGTCATTGAATTGCAAAGTTAGTGACATTATCCAGCTCTACTCTCATCTGATTGAGAATAAATTAATAAATCATGGTTAAATCGATAATATTACTGAATATCAATGGCCAGTTATCCCCCTAAACCCCTAAGTCATACTTTTTTGTTTTATTTTATTTGGATATCTCATTAATTTCAGTTTGTGAAAATGTTTTTCAATCAATAGTTTTTGTCATTTAGTTCTAATATACAAAAGTAACCCTATAATAATCAGTGTTGGACAAGCTACTTGGAAAATGTAGTGAGCTAAGCTAGCATTTAACTCTATATTAAATGAAGCTTCACTGCACTGAATGCGTATGCACCTGTATTTGCATGGGTATGCTCAATTTAGCCCAACCGCCGTAAAACACGAAGAAGAAGAAGTCACCGTCATACTGAAGTACTTCTGTTGGCTACACAGGTCCGTGTATGGTGGTGGCGTCACTTACAGGATCAGTGACCCTTAGCAGTTGTATTTCTGCTTTGAGCTCGAGCTTCAGAAATGTTTGGGAAAATGTAGCTTGTGTGGACGCTACCGCACTACTTGCTCAACAAAAGAGCTTTGTTACTGAAAAGCTATTTGATTCAGAAAACAGCTACGCTACTACCATGCTATTGAGAGATGTAGTGACGCTACTGCCCAACACTGATAATAATAATGCTTTTCCATTCACTCTCCACTTTCTGTCCTTTCCCAACTGCACATGTAGTGGTTGGGCCCCTTGTTTTATCTCAGAGCCCCTGTCTCTCTGCTGGCCACGCTCCAGGTGAACGCTAGAGATGGAGAGGGAAGAGGCTATCTGGGGGCCTGTTAGGGGAGAGGGAAAATCATCATGGGGGTTTGAGGTCTGGGACATGACCAGAGAGTATGAGCGCTCAGAAACAAGAAAGCAATGAACCAAAGAAGGAGAGAGAAAAAAGTAATTGGTGGATGAAGCCAGAGAAGACAAACAGTCTCATCGCCTGGATGAGTTTTGGTCCAAACTTGTTGACAAGACAGATGTTAGGGGTTGAGGGGTTAATTCTTTCCCATGTATAAGGGGTATAGTGTCTCGTATGATGTTTTAAAAGCATTATGTGGCATTAAAATGTACTAGGAAAGCCTGAGTGCCTGACCTATTTGTTATAATTAGTTTATAATAATTAGTCTTCCCACAATTGCAGGTATTTGTCAGCCTAGGCCCGCAGAGCTATTTAAATTAAAAAATAAAGAACTGTATTTGATAGTTTGTTATTTGCTGTTAGGAATGCATGGATGAAACCAGTTTAAAATGATTAAACATAGAACATTGCTTCCTGAAAATGGAATAATGTAGCACTGCAGTGAAACGCTGAGGCCTCCTTTTTTTATTTTGATGAAGTGTTGATCTGGCCCCTTGATAGATTTGAAAACCTCAAACAGAGTGGCTATTTGACAGGAAAAGAGCTTAACCTTGTGGTACATGCCTATATATCTTTGTGAGTTGTGCAATTTAAGCCAGGCTAGATTTAGCTGGCCATATGTGAAACATATTAACTTCTTCTTTTATTCCCCAAGACAGGAACTCTTACTTCCTCTGAGTTTTTCAGGTTTTGCTCATTTGGTTTTACTCCGGTTTTGTTTTAAAGATCATTTTGGTCATGTAAGCCAGTGATGATACACTAGAGGAACATTTTAGACAAAGTTCACCATGTTACTGTAGTACATGCAAGTTAAAGTTAGATGGAGGCAAACATACAAAAAATGGCAAGAAAACTGTTTTAGTTACTTTAATATCAATGCATTATTTGGTTACTTATTTGTTTAGTCCAATTTCATCTTTTAATTTTATATCTGTTACATCCAAATTTAGCATTTTAATACTGAAACAAAATCAGTATGGCAGATCTAGAATGTCACATTTTTAATAACAAAATAATTTAAAATAAATAATGAAGTATGCATAAATTAATTAATAAAAATGCAAAATGCGTTTCCTGTTGTACTGGAAATGCAGCCCGGAACAATGATGTTGAATTGACTTTATTGAAAGTAAATTCAACATTATTCCAACAAAAATCTGTAAATCGAAGTAGTCTTGGATAGAACATCCAAGATCATGCAGATCTGTTGAACAACTACATAGATATCCCAACTCTGTCACAAATGGGTTTGGCAAACCAGCAATGCTTTGTGATCGCCATAAACGCAGGGTCAGTTAAATGGGTGTGGATACGATTACAGTAAAGACACAGATGCCAGAGACATATAGCATACAAGCATAAAGTGATGATGGTTGGGCCGACAGTTAGGCAAATTGACTGGAATGGACTGCTTATGCAAAAATCGCTAGTATAATGTTCTTCCATAGCAAATGAGGTAGTTGTCATATTTCTAATAAGCATCAATATTCTATCCAAGTCTACCTGGATTTTCAGTGTGGGATAATGTTGAATGCACTTGCAAGTGTAACATATCCTCAATATTTAATTTTGTGTTTAACTTTCTTACAAATTACACTGCATTGGACCAGAAGTTGTGGTGGCCACTCAGGCCTTCTTGCAAATGCCACCTTCAGCTCAGACCAACACAAAGCGGAGCGCAAGAGCACCCTTCTGAGTCATAAAATGACAAAGAGCAGCCTTTGTATTACTTCATGGAAACTCGCCTTTATACCCTTTTTTTGTTTCTTGTGGTTCCCTCACAGAACCTGAGTGGTGGTCGTCACGCACCCCGATACTCCTACGATCCATCCATCTTCGCTTTCCGCCCTCTGAGCAACGCTCCGCCTTGCAGCCCCCTGCTGACTGCCGAGGAACCTCCATGTGCTTGAAGGAAAGGACTGGAAACTCGCAGACAAAACATCACACATTTGTGGACCAAAAAATCCCAACATAAAGACAATGTATCTTTGCATTGCTTTTATTTTGCAGGATATTAGTGTGAACAAAGGCCCTGTGATAAGGCCTGTTGACAAAACAGGAAGTGTGATCGGGGCCAGAATGTAGGAGAGGAATGAGGAGACGGCAACCTTTTGCCTTTATCCGTCTCATCCTCTCTTTCTCTCAGGAAACCCACTTAGAACTTATTATAATGACAAGGCCATGACCACTGCGCTATCTATAAAACCACAACCAAATGGTTTGGTATCTCTGATGTGTTTAAGAGGAGTGAGGAGTGATTGGTCAGTGGTTCGTAGATAACGTCTCAAGATTGGGCCACATGGTTATGTCGAGACCATCGGATTAAGAGTAAAATGTAAGACCACATTTAGGCAAAATGTGATGAGAGACAATCAGTTTGATGCCAGAATGGGCCTTAATTCATTTTTGATAAAAGAGTTTTTCGATCTATAAACAGTATAAACTGGAAAGCTAACAATCAGATCAACAATCAGATCAGACAATCAGATATAATGACAACACAGGCCAGATATTCCAAGTCATTGTTCAATTTCAGATGTTATGCAAGTCTGACCATAACAATGTATCAGTAATCAGAGCTGATTATCTGATGTGTATTCCAAAGTAATTAAATCTTAAATGAAGAATGAGAAAAAAAAAAACACTATACTAAAATCATATATTAAACATGCGCCTTACTATGTAGCATACTCAGTACTATGTACCTACATACAATGACTTTTACCATCGATATCTAGTTTATGAAATATTTTGACACTGTTTAAACACACCAGGGATGAAATCATACACACAGTGGCTGAATTGAATACTAGTGTACTGCATACTGCAAAATACACATTGTATACAGTGTACTATTTTTAAAAAATATAATGTGAAACATGGGTACATTATATTTACAACAAATGTTTGAAAACAGTATGTTGTTTATATTGGAAAAAAAAAAAAGGGTTAGTTTGCATTAATTAATTTCTGGAAAAAATCTTTTGGTTTATTAATCACATTGGAAATAGAAGTTTAAGTCGAACATAGTATGACTTAAATGTGAGATATAGTATTTTCCAGAAAATGTGCATACTGTTCACACTATACAAACAACATACAGCAGAAATAATAAGATGAGTATGCTAGTATACCGTTCCAAACATAGCCTTTGTGTTATCCTTCTGACGTGTAGAAAATTAAGTACAGAACTCGACATGTGATCTTAAATATGGACAGCAGGAATCCTATCCATATTTCAGAACCAATCCTTCTGAGCATTTTGATTGTGGATGTAATGTATTTAGCAGCATACTTCAATACTTTTTACTGAATGTAAACTGCAGTTGTAACCCATGTAAGGGTCAATAAGCTAGGCCAACCAGAGGGTGAACAATATTTTTGAAATATAGATGTGGGGCATATAGTGCAGTACATGCTTGCAACATGTGAAAATTTGTCCTTTTCTGTCTCTATGCCTCAAATGAGGGGAATAAATATTTCTTCCCAGTTTGTGTCTTGTTACTTTACTTGAAATATATATATATATACACACACACACACACACACACACACATATATATATATATATATATATATTATATAATTTCCCCTAAACTATTTATTGAGCCAAGCTGCTCAGACATAAAATGCATTCTCTGATGTTGGTTAATGGTCATGATATGCAAGTAAAGAAAAAAAGTATATATATATATACCGTATATATATATATATAGTTTGTTTTTTAACCCCTGGTTATCCGATGTTCTTTGTGCGCATCGAACCAAACTCAGGGCAGCAGAGAGAAAATGGCACAAATCAAAAGATCCGTCAGACCTGAGTATGTATCAGTCTTTGCTTTCATCTTTCTCTGCTGAAGTCCATACTGCCAAATCTTCATACTTCCACAACAAGATCAACAGCGCTCCAGACACGTAATCTCTTCAAAACTTTCAGTTCTCTCCTCTGTCCCCCTCCACCACCTCCCACCACTTCTATAACGGCTGATGATTTTGCCACATTCTTCACAGACAAAACTAGAACAATCAGTAGTCAATTCTCAGCCCCCCCGCACACAGGACTTCAAATCAACCACACCCACTGCTAAAACTCCCATCTTCTCCTTCTGCCCCCTCACTGAGGCAGAAGTATTGAAACTTCTCCTCTCCAGCTATCTTACAACATGCCCTCTAGATCCAATCCCCTCACACCTTCTCCAAGCAATCTCTCCTACACTTTTACCACCACTTACACACATCTCTCCTCACAGGCACCTTCCCCACTGCATTCAAGCAGGCTCAAAAAACATACATTAAACACTTCACTTATAGACAGCTACAGACCTGTCTCTCTCCTTCCATTCATAG